AAAAAAAAAAAACTTTCCTACTGCTATCATTAAATTGTTGCTGCTATTTTAGGAACGATTCTATGCTTAGTTTTTTTTCCCTCTTTCCTTTTCTTTATCGTCTTTATATTATTATTAATACTATAAAGTATTTAATCTAAAAAATTTATGTTTTTATGCAACGATACTATTTTTTTACAATTTCAAATGGCTTTGGTTAAAAAAAAGAAGAAAAAAAAAGGAAAGCAGAAAACACAAAAACAAATCTATGACAGTTGTTGTAAATTTTTTTTTTTTCTCCTCCCTTACTGTTGTTTACTTTGTCATTGAATTTTGGTATAAAACCACAGTGATTGATATGGTTTTGGACGTCTGTTTTTGATCTTTGATAAACTGTTAAACCAACAACTTGGCCAACTTTTGTCAACGCGCTTTTGTTCTTTTCAAAAATAGACCATTCTTTTTTTTTATGTCGCTTTTTTTTTCTTTTCTTTTTAGTTGATTTAAATTTCACTTTTTTTTCCTGTTTTCTGTTGTTTTAAAAATTTTTTATTAGAAAAAAAAAAAAACAATTTTTTTGGCACGAAATAAACAATAAATAAACAAATATAAATTGATGACAGTTTTGCTGTTATCAGCAATACCAATTGATTTGGTTGCTTTTCTGTCTGTGTGTTGTCGCTGTGTCTTTTGGTTTTGTATTTCTGTTTCACAGCAACAGCAAAAAAAAAAACAAAAAAAAAAGCCTAAACTAATGATATACGTATCACATATGAATTATTTGAACGTGCTGATTCCGAAAAATCTCAAAATTAATTTATTATTATTGTCTTATTATTATTATTATTATTATTATTATTATTATTATTATATTATTATTATTATTATTATTATTATTATTATTATTATATTATTATTATTATTATTATTATTATTATTATTATTATTGTATTATTATTATTATTATTATTATTATTACTATTATTATTAAACAAGCTAAATATTCTGTTCTGCTTAGCGCAAATTTTATAGAACATTACCCGCTTCTAATTTTAGCTATAAAAATAGAATCATACAAAATGTCATCTAGTTTTTGGCCTTCCGTTCTCTTTTTTTCCCCCCGCTCTCTTTTTTAAGCCTATCGTTTAGTAAATTACACAAATATTTTAAAGCAGCAAGTATAAATATCAAAAAAAAAGAGAAAAAAAAAGCGAAAATCATTGATGAAACAAATAACAACGTTAAAGTTGCTATTTGTCGCTTGATAAATTTATTACTGTTGTCAAAAAAAAAAAAACGATGAATCAAAAAAAAAAAAAGTGAAAAAAAAAGAAAGAAAAAAATGCTGAATATGTAAGAAAAAAAGTAAATAAAAGCAAAAATTTGCATATATTTTTTTTTAAGTTGCATATATATTCATATCAAATTCTTTCTTTTTTTCCCGCTCCCCCCCTTCCCCCCCCCCCGCTCCACCGTTTATTTACTGCTACAATTTTTAGGTGTCTTCGTCAATGTTCTTTTCATTTTTGGTTTCACTTAGGCACACAAAATTTAGTTTTTTTTTTTTCTTTGTTTGGTATCTTTCACACTTTCTTTTGCCTAACATATTTTCATTTCCTCCACTATCTTCTTTCTTTCTTTTTCCATCTTTTACAGAGAGAAAGGGTGAGACAGGGAGAAAGAGAAAAATAAACTGCAATTTACAGAAGTGTAAATTTAAATCAAAAATTTTGATTTATTATCCACCTATAAACGAATTATTGTAAAGACAAACAGAGAAAAAACATCCATTAAACTTTGAACAAATTAATTGTACAATTAATGTCGAAAAACTGATTAGTAAACAGGTTTTCTCTTTTTAATAGCATCAATTTGAGCTGTATTTGTTGGTTAAATAGTCTTTAAAAATAGAGCCAAAACAAGACCAAAAAGATTCTTCTACTTTGTTTTTACAATCGGAAGAAATATCAAAATGATAAGTTGGAGAAGACAAATGAAAAATGTACAAACCAATATGCTTGTACTGTTTTCTACAGAAATAACCAAGCAAATTGATCAAGAAATAAGTTGAAGACAAAAATTTTTTGTTTCAATGTCATTATTATAATAGCAATTACTAATTCCTCAGCAACTCTATAATCATTTTTAAAACCAAAAAAAAGAAGATATTTTAAACAACAACAGAAAAGAAAATATTTATAATCCTCTGTGACATTTGATGATTTTTGCCTATTCAATTTTCACCACTAACTTTTTTTTTGTGCTTTTTTCTTCTTTTTTTTTACTTTGTTTTTTGAATTTATTAAGGAGAAAAAAAATCTACTTTTTACTCTTATACTTCAATCAAAAGTGCTAGAAACAAACACAGAAAAAAAAGTCTGTCCTTCCCTGTTTTATCTATTAAAATGACAATCTTACATTATAGTTTGAATACCGATCATAATATCTTAAATTAACAGCAAATTTTTCTTCGTAAAAAAATAACAATTGAACACTAAAAATTAGTAAGAAATAGACTAAATCTATTAAAAAAAAAAAAAAACTGTCTACGACGATTCAGAGAAATATTAGAAGAACACTACAGCAAACGTTGGTTACATCACATGAAAATATGATGCGGAAAAACGAGCAATATTCACATTGTTGGCATCG